CCCTCCGCATTCTTACGCGTTTAACAAATACACACGAGTGCAGGAGCGTTACGATATTACGGTCTAAGCGCGGCGTCACCAAAAGGGCAATACAGCGTTTATCAACCTTTAATGGCTGCCTGAGTAACTCACACAGTTCACAAAGGTCAAGTTTTGATGGAGCGGATGTCGCAAAAGGAAAATGAACAGTTGAGACGGAGGAGGAGCAGCTGGCCTGAGAGTAGCGTAAACAATGGGCACGCCTTCATGTTCCGTCAAGAGATGGCGCCACCCATTGCAATAGGTGCCTTCAATTCTTAAATAAATCGAGCAAAAAAGGCTTGCAAAGCAAGAATACATTTTATGCATTTTTTTCTTTTTTTTTGTGTCGCTTAGTGATGACGATATATCAAATATGATGAAAGAACAATGAGCGTGAAACCCGAGCGCTTCCATCAAAAATAAATTGCTTTGAAAAAAAGAACTCGTAATAGAGAAATATTTTTGTGTCAATTGACGCCTTATGTAGTTTTTACTTTTCATATACAGTCATTCCGTTAACAAAGCTAATGTCGACTGCATTTTTACTGTTCCGGGATGATTTCGATACTTTATATAAGATATTTAATTTATATGCTCCGCCCTTAAATGCCTCTTTCAAAATGAACGACGTTTCAATCCCCTGTAACATCAAATTAGAGCGCAGCTCTAATTTGATGTTACAAGGGATTGTAAACGGATTTGGTGTTACAGAAGGAGGGGAGGTACGGAAAGGAGGGTATGCCCTTCCTCCTCTTCCGTACCCTCCCCTCCTCCCCTCCTGCTCCCCACCTATCTAGCGGGAAGTGTTTCGCTAAATTTAGCGGGGAACTTTTTCACTAAATTTAGCGGGGAAACCTTTCCGCTAAATTTAGCGGGGAATTTCTCCCGCTAAATTAAGCGGGGAAATTTTCGCTAAATTTAGCGGGGAATTTCTTCCGCTAAAAGCGGGGAAATTTTTTGATAAATTTTGCGGGAAAAGTTTTCGCTAAATTTAGCGGGGAAATTTTTCCTCTAAATTTAGCGGGGAAATATTTCCGCTAAATTTAGCGGGGATATTTATTCATAATGCAACGCGCAGTGACGTCACGAGTGGCCCTCATGACGTCACACGTGACGTCAAGTGTAACGTCATTATGGGAAACATCACATAATGCAACGAATGGTTACGCCGACGGCGACGCCGCTCTAGCCGTAAACAGGCGCCCCGAAGCTGCGCTATTAAAAAAAAATATATATATATATATATTACGTGGGGATTGACAGCATAAGAAACGCAGGGCGTGTCTTAATACTCTCCCTTGTTCATGATTGGTCCTTAGCCGCTCTTATTGGCTAATGTCACAATCTGATTAGCTGTGAAGCTATAATAATATGCTCGGGACTTGCCGCGCCCAGCGCTTCTTAAATTGTGCGTGAGTATATAGAACCCTGATTTACGTAATGAGACATTGGTTTGGAAGGGCGAGGGAATGAAATCATACATTGGTTTATTATAGTTTCTAGGCTATAGGTGGCGCAAGCTATCACCTGTTACAAAAGGTACATCCATTAGCATCCATCCACCCATGCATACATCTATACATACATACATTTCTGCGAAGCTGTGCCCGATGTCGGGCACAACGAAATGGTAATTTTTTTTCCGACATTGTAAATGTGTTATAGGCTTTTTTGAATCCGTGATTTCGGATAATGATGAAATATAGGGCGTAGTTGTCCTCATTTGCGCTCAATCAAAAATGAATATTGAATTGAATATTGAATAAAATATTGATAAACGATATGCGGCATTGGTTCTCAAGCTTTTCGCAAGAAGATATGACACGGTACGTGGACAACCTGTCTTGAATGCATGTACCCGAAGAAATAAATGTTTATATGGTGATTACTTTTCTTACTAATTATCTCAGTTTTTTATACTTTCATCTCACTCTATTAGTTGTAAAAAAAAACGCAAGAACACAGTAAACTATTTGTTTCATTCTTGGACGAGACTTTATTTAATTCTAACATAGGCGGCTCTCTCGGCCTCTGCCAATGGAGACAAGCATAATAATAATTTTATACTCTTACTTGGAATACACGTATTAAAATGAAAGAATAATCGATGTCCGAATCTTTCTTTATCGAGTCCTGACATTCGAAGTAACAGTTTCTTAATATTTTCTTAGGCTTCGACTCATGTAGAGCGGTTTGATATTTTTATCATGGCCAATCGCAATATTGAAATGCACATTCTATACAAATGTTCCTTTAGCTTGCGATAACCACTCACCGATATTTCTGGTACGTTCGATACGTAACGCTTTTTTCTTCTTCTTGTTTTAGCGCGCAGAGGAGCATGGACAGTGACTATGGCCTGCCCCATGAGACATGTAAACTATAGTTGACATGCCCAAAAAGAAATCAGAAGAAAAATTAGTCTAAGAAAGAACGCCCTGACAGTTCGAGCGCACTGTCGTGACACCATAGAAATAGAAATTAACATGGTCACGTGACAACCATCCTCCAGTAGTGGCTGCTTTTACGCCCAGCAAGCAAACCCACGCGCACAACAAAACCACGAAGAAATACTGGAGAGGAGGCTGGAAAAAAAAAGGTGATGGTGGACAAAAACGTTGTGACATTATTATATATAATCGACTCCCAGTTTCTGTTCATCCGAAAAAGGAGAGAGCCGGGGGGGGGGGGGGGGGGGGGGGTATTTATTCTCCCGTGTTTTGTAGTGTCTTATTATTATTCCCCTTTGTTGGCGTTTTTGTCGGAGACATCCCGACCCACCCGGTTGTTTCCTCTAAAAACGCAGCGTGTGCAGCAATTGTGCAAACATGCCTAAAAATTAAAACTTGTTGTTCTGTCCGTTTTTTTTTTTTTTTGTTGTTTTATCGTTCCGTGTTTTCGGTTACTATGGAAGTTCTTCACCAGCTCGCCTGTGTTTTTACCCTTTCCCCAACTCTCAAGATGTGAAAAATAAATGCTGACACACCAAGGGACGACAAATGCTAGCAGGTGACAACGACGCACCGTCAACATCAGAAGAATATTGACGAGTTTACAATGGAACACGGACGAAGAATTCTGACACAAAGAGAGAGAGAGACAGAGAGAGAGAGAGAGACAAAGTAGATGGTGACACAGTGAGCTAGCATAAGGCTACACACAAGACAGTCGCTAATCGAAACTACCAAGGAAAACAAACACGAAAAAGAACAACCGAACAATAGAAAAAGACCGGCAATATATATATTTTTTTTCTTTCGCGAACATCTAAAATTGTGAATCTTCCCCCAGAGAACACAACCTTCCTCAAAGGTTGTTCATATATATATATATATATATATATATATATATATATATATATATATATATATATATATATATATATGGAACCCTACGAAACCCTCGCCCATGAACAACACAATACCCCCCCCCCCCCCTTTTCCCCAGACACACAAAAAAGTAAAGAAATAAAAATATAAACAAGACGGTTTTTAATACGAAGCAAACGACTGGGACGCGATATAGACGAGAAATAAATAATAACCAAAAAGAAAAGCAGGGGGACCGTTTGTGTGGAATGTCGAGCTCTCGTGGAGTGTCCCTCATTGTGCAGGCGGCAAGCATTTCGTGTCGTCACCAAACCGACGCAGCGCCACCTCTCCTCCTTCCCCTCTGTGTCCACTGGTCTCCCTCGCCGTTCACTTTATAATAGGGTGCGCGTATACAAAGCAAAAATAATCCTCGGAGATGACAAGAAGAAGAAGCAAGAGGCGCAAGATGCCCGGCCCAACAACAATGGGCCGACTGGGCGCTCGCGAACAAGTGTATCAGACCAGTCGACGACGACGTTTCTTTGGGATCGAACCGTGCTGTTTGAACGGGGTGGGTGGACGGGAGAAGATTTTTTCTATCCATCTATATAAATGTACATCTAAAATAAGAAAACAAATCGGAACAAAGAAAGGAGCACGTAGGAAAGTAGAACAAGACGAGAATTCGTTCCTCTTTGCCGGCTTCCATTGTGGCCAAGTGCTGTGTTTGGGAGACCCACCCCCCCCTCTTCTCAAGCGACACAATAGGCTGTGTAGCCCCCTCTTCAACTCGCTACCGGTCCTCTAAGGCCGCCAGCGAGTGCCTGGCGTGTTTGGTTCGCAGTTTGTGGCGGATTGGCCGTGGGCCTATTTGTGTTTGTTTGCTTGGGGGCGTTTATATGATTATCCCGGTATCTGAAAAGGGACACTATACATTCCACGCTGAAAATACGGCAACGCAATTCTCGACGTGTTTTTTTTTTTTTTTTTTTTTGTATACGTTGCGAGTTAACTTCCGTTGACTTTCTTTTGGTGTCCGAATGGGTCAAATAGAAAAAAAAAAAAAAAGAAGTGAAGTTTGTATCGGTGTGGGGGCTGTTGTGTTTTGTGGATGAGACTTCAATGGCGGTTGGTGGTGATGGCAAGGAGGGATCTCCCTGCGATACGTATAATATTTTAGAAACTTGTTGTTTAGATTTTTAAAATTGGCTTCGCGCCGTGCAGGATATTTGAGCGTAGATGCGCGTAATTAGATAACCTTCATTTGCGTTCTAACGTCGTACGTGACCAAAAAGACTCCTTAGAGCGTTTCGTAGAACCTCGTCAGCTTTCGGACATGACTATTAGTGTGCTCAGAAAGACAGACAACGTCCTTGGGTCCAGGATGTTTTGAATATCAATAAAGTTTATTCACTCAATCAGAAAGACTGGCGTGAAGACGTTGCACCTGAGCGCGTTCATAATAACCATTTAATTTCCGTTTCGTACAAACAATAGGCAGTTTTCGTAGACCGTGTTTCCCCCTCCGCTAAGCACTCCGCAACGAAAAAGCCACTACTGCGCCTGCGCGCCCATGGCCTTGACTGTAGAGTTCCAAGTAGTGTAGTGGGTTGTGGAGAGCGTTGCAAAACGATCTACGAAAACTCCCCAATGTTGATCAGTGAACATTACCGTTTGATGAGACAGGCAGCGATGGACTCCACAAATAGATGTTACGACAATGTGTTTGCCGTATTCTTCGCGGAGGAAGCGAGCACATCGAAGCCGCATTATTCACAGGCGCACATCGGCGAGAAAAAACTCGCAGCTTCTCCGAGAAATGCCGGAAAATCGCAGTTTCTTCGACGGAGCCAGCGCCACCGACCACACCGACCGGTCTCACCGCTCGCCGCGCGAGAGTCAAGACTCGCTCATAGATGGCGTTCGCGCGGCTCCGCTCGGCTTCGACTTGGGCCTCTCGGCGGCTGCGGCTTTGGATTGAGTCGCCCGTTGCAAGCTCCACCTCCTCCGACAAATCGACCAATGGAAGCGGCCTCACGTTCTCGCGGGGCAGGCACCGCCCCCAACACCCCCCCGTCGAGCGGCATGCACAAAGATCCCGATCAGGCCTCCTCGCCCGCTCATTCGAGTGCGGTCGCTCTCTTCTTCGAGCCGATCTCCCCACACGAGATCGCGATAGCCGCAAAAGCGACATCGTCTGCTCCGCCGACCAACTACGTCGTCTGCTTCGTGCGCCACACCAACCGCGTCGCGGTCAGTTTTTGTCCGCCTGACCTCGAGTTTCTGCCCCCGGCTTGGACGACAGACTGAAGACACACAAGTGGCAGCCATGCTTCTACCGCACCAAACGGTCATCCACAAAGGCCCTCCCGCCCTGGCGTCTCCGCCGCACGCCGAGGTCCCGGTGAGCATGAGTCGCGGAAGTCCGGACCACATCAAGAGACCCATGAACGCCTTCATGGTGTGGTCGCGCGGACAACGTCGCAAGATGGCCGTCGAGAACCCCAAGATGCACAACTCGGAGATTTCCAAGAGGCTCGGCGCAGAGTGGAAGCAGCTGTCCGAAACGGACAAGAGACCCTTCATCGACGAGGCAAAGCGCCTGAGAGCGCTTCACATGAAAGAGCATCCGGACTACAAGTACAGGCCACGTCGCAAGCCCAAGGTGACGCTCGGTACGTCGTCGTCTCCTCAGACGCTCCAGAAACAGAAGACGGCAACGGGTGGATTGTCTGCCCAAGACAACCCATTCTTCAGCTTCGAATCCGTGAGTCGGTTCGGACGGCTGGACAGCCAGAAGGCCGCCACGACGCGCAACGGTCTCGGAGTCGGCGGCAGCCACATGTCTCCGGCGTCTCAGCAGCACTGGCTCAACTCGAGCCTCGCCAAACTGCGCGGTGAGCCGACGCCGATCTACTTCAAGTCCGACATCGCCGCTCCAACGCCGCTGTATTCAACGCAAGCGCCTGCGACGAGTCCGCCTTCGACGCAGGCTAACTTCCTCTGCCCCCTGTCGCCCGGTCAGGGAAGCTTCGTGCCATGTCCGTGCCCCTCGTACTACCCGCCTCAGGCGCTGCATCATCCCTCGTTCCCCTGCTTTCTGCTCAAGCCGCCGGAGGGTCTGGGACTGACCAGGCCATCTCCTGTGTTGTCCGCGTCTTCCATCGCCTAAAAGACCCATTACCGAGGCAGCGAGACTTTTGCGTTGCCGCGCGGTTCGTCGAAACATTTCAAGTGCCTTTTGTGCTCAGACTCTTTTGGTACCTGGACGTTGGCGAGTATATGCCTGGTGTGACGAACCACGATGCTTTCAATTGTAAGAAGCTTGTATATAGGTCGTTTGTTTTTTCTCTACTCTTTATTTGTTCCTATCTTTTTTTCTCTTTTGTACATATACATAAATCTTCGCATAACTCTACTTTCGTTCTTGTCGTCGGCGTTTTGTCGCTCATAATTCTAGTCTCCGAATTCGTTCGACGACACCAACAGAGCACCGTCTTAGCTCTTTAGATGACCGAAGAGATGCCGGGCGCATTTACCGTGCAATTCCGTTCCTCACATCGTCGTCCATGCCGCTTTGGCGGTCGGTATGCGTTCCCACTTTTTTGCAACGGCTAGTCAAACCTTTATACCAACGTACCATGTGTGCAATCAAAATCAAAATTTCTCTGAAATTGTTTCCACATGTTTTTTTTTTTTTACAAATGTTTCACTCCAAGGAACGCATCGTGTTAATGACTGCGTAAAAATATTGTTAATAATTGCCGCTCCGATTCCACCATTGGCCATTGGAAGCGTACAAAGTTACCTCATGCCTCGATATACTGCCAAATTACTTTTATAAAGATATTTAATAAAAGAAAACTGAATTATGTACAACCTGATTATGTTTCTCTGGATACAGCCAAACGCCTAGGTGAATATTTTATTCACCACCACACTTTAGTAACCCCAGGAGTCTCAAACTAGCATTTCTGACTCGTGCTAACAACTATATCTTAATTGAAATGATGTCATTATTAATAATCGAAATCTAAGGGATAGCCCGTATGAGGTATAGAGTTTCGGAAGTGATAAATGGTTATCATAAAGTCAGATGGCGTGCTATTTTTTTGTGCTTGAGTGCAAGAAGAGGCATGAAACAAACAGAACTGGGTGCTTTCGATGCCCATTCTTCGATGAAGTAGCAAGCCCAAAAATGCAACGTAAATACAAATGCGAGGAGGTAACTAAAACCAAAGCCACACAATAAAAAAAAGTGGGGCAGGATATTTAGTAGGTTTCCCAATATAAAATGCAATATATGGAAGGCGAAAAAAAAAAAAAAAAGGAACACTACAACAGCAAAACATTCATAAAAGACAGTTCTCTTCCGGTTGATAGTTGTTATCACGTATCTAATACGACCAGGCCTTAAACAAACATATACTTATCTTCTATACTTTATTCGCCTTAAGCAAAGGTTTCCATGACGCCTGTATTTATTTATTTGTAATAGAAGATTTGACTTCAAGTAAAACAAAAATCGCTCACAAAAGAAAGAAAAAAAAAAAGTTACATCTGTCTTTTCGGGCTAGCATGCATTAAAAACATATTTTATTTTTGCTTGGCCAAATTAGATGTTTTTTATCGGTTGAGGACAGACTTGCACAGGTTACTTCAAGAACTTAATTAATTACAGCTACAATTAATTGGCTTAAAACATAATGAATTACCGTTACACCATAAAAACTCATCGATTAATTATTTCGTTACTTTACTCGATTACTCTTCAATTACTCCAAAGAAACACGAAGAAAACACACCATACACGGTGTGTTTCATACAATACAGTCAGTATACTATCTATGCATCATTTTAGGATAATAATTTTAGAATAACGAACCTAAAAAGCTTTAGAGGACTTAGACAGGTGTTCGAGATAAACCAGTCTTGCGCTGTCCAGCCAGGACAGAACTAAATCCCATGAACCTGCAACGAATGCACTTGGGCGGTGGAGGCACGCACACCATTCGAATTAATCCAAATTTGGCATCGGCGAGCTTCAAAACACGAGTCCTCTAAAGATATGTTTTTTTCTTAGTTTGCTGCATGTTGCCTAAATAGGGGATGGTTTATCTACTAAAACTTACTGGCTGTGAGACCAAGATGCGGTAGTTACGTCTGGGTACATTTCAAAGACTCGTGCTTGATGAGGGTTGCTTTCCGACCGAATGGCCCACTTGATCTTCTTTCTTGATCACCAAACATATCAAGACCAAGATGTCACACGAAATATTAATGCACAATCTCTCAGCTGAACTGAATTTGCAATTTAGAAATTATATAAAAAAAGCACAATTTTCAATGAACAGCACGCTTCCACGCATGTCTTTCACGCCTTTACAGGCGACTTCTCAACTCAGTGTACAAGTGAGTCACTGTTTATTCTCAGAAAACTCGGGCTGTGTTTCCTTTCCCTAAAATGTCGGTCTAAGTTCCCGCAGGCGCAATCCGCTGACGAAAACCCTAGCATTCTCGTTTCTAAGAATACGGGTTCAGCTTGGATGTCCGAAGCCATTTTGTCTTGCTCCCTTGTCAGCTTATTGCATGCTGTCGAAAGTTACTGTTTAAACGAACAGCAGGGTGAATGCTAGATTTTTCTCTGTTCTAATGAACTTATGCCATCGCACCCCTCATGTTTTTGTTTTACGCATCCGCTAGTGCGAAGTCAAGTGACAGAAGTCACATAGCCGGTTGGTCCAGCCAGTTGTCAGCTTTCACAGAACTGTCAAGAATGAGCAGAGTCGGGGTCTCATTAGAGCTTCCTCTTTGTTTGAAGGGTGACCGTGTGTAAGCAAAAACATCGACAAGCAAAAAAAAAAAAAAAAAAAAACGGTTTCGTGTGAAAACAAGAAGAAGAAAAAAAAAGTTTTGTTTTGGGGGGACTAGGCGCGGACGGGTAGGGAGGAGCCGTCATATGCACCACAGTCACTGTGCCCACGGTCGACACGAACCCCACGCGACAGTTGTATGGTATATTGGTTTTACGCTCGAAGCAGTCCGTTCATTTTCCACAAAGTCGAAGTTAGTTGCCTTTATGTAGACCGTCGACTCCTTCCAGCCTGGCTGAACGTACGAACGAGTCGAAAACGGGCTCTGCCTGGGCTCTCGTGCTTTCCGTGAATCCTTTTTTTTTCCCTCACCAGTACTCCCTTCGCGAGCAAACCCCCCTCTTGCATGCTAAAAGCGCGAAGGCCGTTGCATCGCCCTTCTTCCATTATATTTCTCCCTTTGACGGGACGAAAGAATTGTAACCAGTAACTTCAGTAATTTGTTACCGACAAAAGTAACGAGATTACATTACAAATTACATTTTCCAAAAAAAGTACCGGATTAATTACCAAATTACAAGAAAAGTAACTATTTACAAGTAATTCTGTTACTTGTAACGGATTACTTCCAAGTCTGGATGAGGACCATTCGGATATGCGCGTCAAATGTTTTAGTTAAGTAGAAACAAATACCAAACGTTCACACAAATACGCACAATACCTTACGCAAAAGACCGAATACCCTTGGCTTTTTCGTGCAAAAAGTAGCACCGGAACTTATACCCCTGTCAGACGGGCTAGTTTAGTGTCACTACAAGCGAGTGCACTTCAAGCCGTCGAAACACACTCCAAGTGTGTTGGTGCTACACGGAAAAACTTAGTGTCACTCCAAAATGATGGCAATAACGATGGGTAAGTAATGGGCACGCAAAATATTACAGTGGCATTGTTTCATAAATAACTTCGTCATCTTGTTAGAAACAGGTTACCACACATTGTTGCGCTAAGTCACGAGCTTTAATCCAAATTTAAATCCAATTTGATCATTACGATCAGCCATTACAAGCCAGTGATACACGTCCGCACGCCGGTACAAGGCTCACCTATACTCTGTTTCACCTTATGATGTACCGCAGGAAAGGCTACAAGCGGGTGCTGCTTGATAGGGCGCATCAAGGCGGCACAAGCTCTCTTGCGTTCAGAGTAGCTCCCAACGCCATGAGCTCGCGCTTCACGCCATGTCTGCGCCGACTCTGCGGTACAACATAAGGTGAAACGGAGTATAGATCGAAACGAGCAAAAGTAGGGATTGAACCCAGGATTCCTGGGTTGTGTAGCGCGAGCTTTCACTCCAAGTGCTCCGAACTGGTGTGCGCGAGTCCACTCGGCCACTCGCCACTCGCCACAACGAAACATCATGGAGTGTGTGGAGGACAAGCTGGAGGGCGATATCCGCGATGTTAGGCAGTGTAAACGCGTGGTTGGGGCACTTCTCTCTTTGAGAGCCCAACGCCTTTCAGATAAGAGGCAGCTGGACATGGATGCCGACGCACAGGCAATAATTTCAAGTGACATCGATCAGCAACTACAGGCCAATGCCTTCACCATATATGGTGAAGGCATGTATAGTGAAGGCATTGTCGGTCATGAGAGCGGCTATAGCCGCTCTCATGACCGACAACCTGCCCGTGATCAGTCGAGACCGGTGGACGTTCTGAGGAACGAACGGTGGTTCGAATACACCTTGCCCCATTTGGGCAAGTTCCATTTCAAGCAAGCCTTTCGCGTCTCTCCTGCCACTTTCAGATTCCTGGTGGAGTCTTGCAGGTGCCTTCTGGCCGTCGCTGGCCGTCGTGCAGGGGTCAAGGCTAGAAACTAAATTAGCCGCTTGTTTTTTTTACAATGCACTACTTTCCTGTTAACAGAAAACAAGTGCGCATTATACCCCTATCAAAATAATACTAATTGTACGCAGCGTTCATTTCTTCTATTATTTTTACTCCTTGAACACTATCGAGATTACACACTCGGTCTACCGGAGCGAGCGTAGTGTGCACATGCTCCCCGAACTCACTTTATTGGAAGTGTGTTCTTCGGGCAGGGCTGGGGATTGAGCTCAGGATCACTGGGTTCTCCAGCGCGAGCTTCTCTCCACATACTCCGATTTGGTGGGCGCTATCCCACTCGGCCACCGATACCCCTTAATAAAGACACGTTAAAAAAATTAGACGTTTACAATTCTCTCTAATGCCGAATTGGAGCGCAGCTCCTGAGGAAGAGGGAGGAAGTGTTCGAAGGGGAGGGTATGCCAGCTGCTCCCCCTCCGTACCCTAACATCCTCCTCTCCTGTTCCCATCCCACTTACCGTAAAAATTTCGCTAAATTTGCCGCTAAATTTAGTTGGGAGGTTTTCCCGTTGAATTGACGTGTGACGTCACATGAACAACGTCATCTAAAATTTTAAGCGAGACGTCACGTGACGTCACACGGGTAAAATTTTTTCTCTAAATTTAGCGGAAAAATTTTCCGCCAAACTTAGCAAAAACTTTTACTGCAAAATTTAGCGGGAAAAGTTTACCCTCGTGACGTCACACGTGACGGCACACGTGACGTCACGTGTGACGTCATTTTGGGATACAGCCGTTAATGCAAAACGCGGTTACACCAACGCCGCTCAACTCAGAAACGGGTGCCTAGGAGCTGTGCTCTAAAACGACGTTACATTAATGAACGATTTTTACGCCATTTGGATGATTCTGATCGATCATCGCAAGCCAAGATAAAGAACGAAGCATATCCAACTTTAGCGTTCCGCTTCGTTCCACGGAAGTCTATGAGGAGGCCCTGACACTGCCTAATCAGGTTATAATTATCGTGTTGTCTCGCATAGTTACATGCCGAAACAAAAGTAGGCTCTATCATTCTCTGCTAACCAATATAGCCATGAATGACTGACTTTGGCGTCGTCTTTTATCAATTCAGCGCTCCGCTATCTTGATTCAGATCAGCCTAAATTCCAAGTCCACCCCACTATTTTTTCGCAATGCCACTCTTCTACATGCC